GACAAGAGGAATTGATGCAATTGTTGTTTAATACTGTATGGTGTATACATTTGAGTGTATGAAAATGAAAATAAAATATACTAAAAAAAAGAAAAGAAAAAGAAATAGCTTGCCTTCAGAACTTGTGAGTACTGCATCACTGGAGCCTGGACAACCATTTGTCTGAAATGGTATAGGACCGCCTGCTTGAGCAGGGGGTTGGACTAGAAGTCTATTATTCTTTTCTATGTTCTACCTACCTGCCTTGGGCATGGGGTTGGACTCCAAGCCCCTTTCCAGCCCTATGATTGTATTCTATGAAGTATATTCATACCTTTTTCTCGTCTTGCACTGGAGATTCTTCAGGTGATACATTCATTGCCATACGGGAACTCACTTTGGCAGATGGTAAGGATTTGGCTGATTTTTCTTTGCCTGGCTTTGCCTTCCCTGTAGCAGGAACAGCAGCAGCAGACAAAGCCGAGGAAAGAAAACTCGAAGTTGGCAAGTTTACTGAAGGGATAGCCAGAATTGTTGCCAAATAAGGATCCGTTTCCTCTGTAAGGGAAATGGGTTATTTTGATGAAACAGAATGAACATTACATACATCAAAAATGTGCAGCTACTTCTAGATCAAGAAATGTCCTTTGAGTGATATCCTAGGAGCTGTATTCCAAAATAGCAATAGATGAGCCAAGACAAAATCTACACTTGATTTCATTTCATTTACAGTTAAATAAAATGGAATGCAATTAATATAATAGCTCCCTAGGCAAGCATTTGAATTTGTTCACCTTTCATGTTAACATTTTAAATTGGTAACAACATTTGTACCCTGGCAAACATGTTGGAAAAATGTTTTTAATCAGTTGAAACGCAAACGACATTAGCTAAAGCCTTACAGTGATTCTTTGGTCCAAGTTTATCTTATCAGTTATAATCTGGATGCATCTGTTTAACCCTGGAAAAGAAACCAGGATTGGATTTTGTTTTGAGTTGTCTAAAACAGCGGACCCCAAACATTTTGGCACCAGGATTTGTTTTCATGGAAGACAATTTTTTCCATGGACCGGGGGGGGGGGGGGGGGGGGGGGGGGGGGGGAGCATGCAATCTAAATTCTTCACATGTGCAGTTTACAGTAAGGTTTGCCCTCCTATGAGAATCTAATGCCTGATGATCTG